CTGATGTCTGTTGTGATTTGGAGGTGCTCTTTATTTCTTTTGGTTAACCAGGCTAGCAGTCTTTCAATATTGTTTATCTTTTCAAAAAACCAGCTCTTGGATTTGTTGATTCTTTGTATTGTTTTCTTTGTTTCAATTTCATTAATTTCTGCCCTGATTTTTGTTATTTCTTTTTGTTTGCTGGGTTTGGGTTTCATTTGTTGTTGCTTACCAGTGTGTTGAGTTGCAATGTTAAGTCATTTATCTGTGTTCCGTCCGGTTTTTTGATGTAGACACTTAGAGCTGTAAACTTTCCTCTAAGGACTGCTTTCAGCATGTCCCATAGGTTTTGTTGTGTTGTATTTTCCTTTTCATTTAGTTCCAGGAATACTTTTATTTCTTTCTTAATTTCTCCTTTGGCCCATTCATCATTCAGGAGTGTGTTGTTTAATCTCCATGTGTTCATGTGGTTACTGGGGTTTCTTCTGGTGTTGACTTAAGCTTTATTGCATTGTGGTATGATAGAATGCATGGAATTCTTTTATTATGTGTGTACTTGTTCTTTTGAGTTCCATGTCCTGCATTGTCTCTAGGGGGTTCTCACTGTGCTCCTCTAGAGGATTACTGGTATTTGGTGGGGTTATGTTATTTTGGTTTTTCATGTTATTATTTTTTCTCTGTGATTTTGACATATGAATTTCTTTTATAGTTTCTGTTTCTTGTGTGAGACTCAAGCCTCCAAGTTTAGGTCTGCTTCTTTTTTTGAACTTTATGTGTCTTTGTGGTTTACTTTTTGGGCATGAAAAGCTGGTTCATCTAAGCTTCCGGTTCTTTCTTTTGATTTTATATTGGAGTGGCCAGATTGCTTTTGTCTTCAGGAGTTCCCACAGAGGCCCAAGTCAGATGAGGATCAGATGCTCTCAGGCTTTCTCCTAAGGTCTGGATCCCTCCAGGAAAGATGTTGTCCCCAGGAATTTGGAGATTGGACTGGCCTGGGAGAAGGGCCCAGGAAAGATGCTGGTCTCAGGCAGGTGGTGGCCGTGCCACCCAGAGATGTAAAGGGAGATGGGGGCGGGAAGAGGCCCCTTGGGCTCCTGGGGACTGCAGAGAGGAACTGGGTTGGTCTGGATGCAAAGTATCAGGAAGCAGAGAGGTCAGCCCCCCAGGAAAGAGGCTGGCAGGTTGTGCAGCCCAGGGAAGCAGAGGGAGGTGAGGGCAGGCCCAGACCCAGAGGGCTCCTGGTGACTACGAGAAGGAACTGGGTTGGTCTGGATGCAAAGGATCAGGTAGCAGTGGTGGTTCTCCTGTTGTCTGGGGTGCCAAGACAAGGAATGGAACAGCACCCAGGGTGGGAGGAGAGACCGGTGGGGGCTATGGGAGGGTGAATGAGGCTGGGGGAGTCAAGGCGTGGAGGACACGATCGATCGACTTACCCAGGAGAGAGGCCGCGGGTGGTTCAGGCCCAGGGAAGCAGAGGGAGGTGAGGGCAGGACCAGGCCGAGAGGGCTCCAGGGAGAGAGGCCTGGCAGGTTGTCTATTTTTTTTTTTAATTTTAAGATTTCTTTTTTAATTATGTGTCTTGTGTGTGTATTTGTGTGTGGGGGGGGATGTGTGCAAGTAAGTAAGTGCAGATGGTCATGGAGACCTGAAGACATACCCAGTGTAGGTTCTGGGAACTGAACATGGTCCCCTGGAAGAGCAGTTAGCTTTTAACCACTAAGCCATCTCTCTAGCACCTCCATCTTATTTTTTGAGCTGGTCTTCTCACTGAACCTGGAACTTGCTGTCTTAGCAGGACTGATTGGCCTGCAAGCTTCTGGGGTCCTTCTGTCTCTCCTACCCCAGCATTGGGATTACAGGCTTGTGCAACATACCTGGCTTTTACCTGGGTCCTGGGAATGTGGACTCCGGTCGTCATGCTTACAGCAAGTACTTTACTCACTGACCCATGTTCCCAGCACCAGAATTCTTTATTCTTGTTTTTTTTTTTTGTTTTTTTTTGAGACAGGGTCCCCAGCTGTCCTGGAACTCACTTTGTAGACCAGGCTGGCCTTGAACTTACAGAGATCCTGCCTCTGCCTTCCAAGTGCTGGAATTAAAGGCGTGCGCCACCACGTCAGCCAGAATTCTTTATTCTGTGTTTAACTTACCACAGTGTGGTAGGAGAGAGATGCTCAGTGAGGAAGCAGTTTGATACAGACTGGTGAAGGGTTTTCTTCTTGTTGCTTTTCTCTTCTGCTCAGTCTTTCAGCAGAATTCATTGCTGAAAAACAGCTGCTGCTCCTAATATTCCTTCCCTGTGTAGAGGGGAGGTTGTTTTTCATTGAGAGCCTGTGGCCTCAATAGGATGTTTCTTTGTGCTAGTCATTCACTTTCTGCCGTTTTATAAACTGTTTTAGCATTGTTGATGTGTAAGTCAGTGACTCAGAGTAATGACTGAAGTAGATAATGAAGGAAACATTGAGATTTGAGAAGAAAGCTAATGTACTGCTTAAGGTGTCTTTATTTTCAGTATGTTCCAGTTTGAAGGAATCTCAGTCCTAGGGCAGTATATAAATAACTATGCTATGGGAGTTAAAAAATGTGAATTAATAGGAAGCTATTGAAAACAAGGTTATCTAGAACCAGAGCAATTTAAAGAACAAAAGTAGCTAAGTGTGGAGGACTGACTAAGCCCATGTGAGCTCCTGTTTGGGTAACTTTTTATTTTAATTAACTAATTAGTTTTGTTCTTTTTGAGACAGGGTCTCCCCGTAGCCCCATCTGTCCTGGAACTTGTAATGTATACCAGGCTGTCCTTTAACCACAGAGATTCGCCTGCCTCTGCCTCCCAAGTGGTGGGATTAAAGACGTGTACCACCATGTCCGGCTCAGTAGTGTTTATTGCATTTCATTTATTGTGGGAGCGTGTGTGTGCCTGTGTGTGTGCCTGTGTGTGCTCTCATGCATGTGGAAGTCAGAGAACAACCTATAGGAATAGGAGTCAGTTCTTTCCTCCTACCAAGTGGGTTTTGGGGATTGAACTCCGGTTGTGAGGTTTGGGACAAGTGCCTGTCTGTACTCTCTGAGCCGTCTCACCACTCCCTGAAATGTTGTTTTAGTTACCTATTTTCTTATGGTAGCTCAGATTCCAGGGCATGGCATGTCAGTCTTAGAAGGCTCTCAGCACCTGGGAGACTAGGGAAAGAGTTCCAGGCCACCCTGTGCTATATAGCAAGAACTTGTCTCAAAAATAAAACAATAGAGCCAGGCGTGATAGTGCATGCCTATAGTCCCAGCACTTGGGAGGCAGAGGCAGGCGGATCTCTGTGCGTTCAAGGCCAGCCTGGTCTACATAGTGAGTTCCAGGACAGCTGGGCCTACAGGGAGACCCTGCTTCAAAAAGACAAAAAAAAAAAAAAAAAAAAAAAAAAAAAAAACAGAAAAAATTATTATGTATGGAAGTTCATACCTCTAATTCCAACATTTAGAAAGCTAAGGCAGGAGAATTGATAGGTATTCAAGGCCAGTCTGGGTTACAGTTTGAGACTCTGTCTCAACAAAAAATAAACAAGCTGGGCATGATGGCCCATGTTCATAGTCTCACTTTTGAGAGGTGAAGAAAGGATCAAAGTCTTCACTGCATAGTAATTTGAGGCAACCTTAGGTTCATAAGACCCTGTCTGAAAAACACAAACCCTAAATGATAATAGAAGTCAAAAGACTGATAGGACAAGTATCCCTTTGATCCCACTGTTCAAGAAAAGGCACTAATTAGTAATGCTTGCCTTTTTCTTTGGTTTATTTCTGTAGCAAAAAAGAAATCCCTGTGTTTAATTTTACCATCCATGAAATCCACTGTCAAAGGAACATTGGTGTGTGCCCTGTCTGCAAGGAACCATTCCCGAAATCTGACATGGACATTCATGTGGCCACAGAGCACTGTCAGGTGAGCCACTCATTACCCAAGGTGTGCAACAAGAGAGCATATTGTCACAAATCGATTATGAATCGATTCTTTCTTCTTATCCTAGGTGACTTGCAAATGTAACAAGAAGTTCGAGAAGAGGCTTTTAAAGAAGCATGAGGTTAGTCTTGCATTGTAAAAGGCAGGAGTCTCTGTGGGGCTAGGACCTACTGAGATTACAGAGCCACATTCAGAGTGAAAACATGTTGGCTGAGTCTTTGTTTGCCACCAGCTCACATACAGACCATTTCTCAAAGCCAGTTTGAAACTTTGACTGACTCTTACCAGAAGTCACGGCCTGACTCTTGTACTCTCTCCTTAGACCTTAGTTTTTTCCTTTGGAAGCAAGTCTGTCATTTCTGCTGGGGTTTAGCTATCAGTCTTTCTGAGTGTGAAACCAGCTCTGTGCTTGCCAGTTTGAAGCAACCTCTTGAGCACAGTCCCTTGCTTTGCATGCTGTAATTTTGTTTTTCCTTCTTTAAAAAAAAAATTTATTTATTTTTATTTATTTATTTATTTATTTTTTGGTCCTTTTTAGACAGGGTCTCCCTGTAGCTCCAGCTGCCTGGAACTCACTCTGTAGAACAGGCTGGCCTCGAACTCACAGAGGATCTGCCTGTCTCTGCCTCCCGAGTGTTGGGATTAAAGGCATGCGCCACCACGCCCAGCTCATTTAATTTATTTATTACGTCTGTGGTACATGTGGTATGTGTGTGCTATGGTGCACATGCAGAGATGGGAGTGTCCTTCTACTATGTGGGTCCTGAGAATTGAACTCAGGTTGTAAGGCTTGGTAGCAAGTGCCTTGACTTGCTGGACCATCTTGCTGACCCTATAGCTCATTTTACATTTTTTTATTTACTGTTTTTATTTTATGTGTTATGAGTATTTGCCTACATCTATGTGAGTGCACCTGTATTGTGCAATGCCATGGAAGTCAGAAGAAGGCATCAGATTCCCCTGAAACTGGAATTAAGGACGGTTCATAGCTGCCATGTGGGTGTTGGGAATCAAACCTGGGTCCTCTGCAAGAGCAGTCAGTGCTCTTAACTGCTGAGCCGTCTCTCCAGCCCCTAGTTCTTACATCTTAAAAAAAAAAAAAAAAAACATAGCAGGCAAAGGAGACTGAAGTAGTTACTTTTTGCTTTCCTTGCCCTGTACTGAACTCCAGCCTCTCTTGAATGTGTATAAGAACTGCCTCATTGCTTTGTCTCATTACTTTGTAGGAGACTGAGTGCCCTCTGCGACTTGCTCTCTGTCAGCACTGTGATTTGGAGCTTTCTGTTCTCAAACTGAAGGAGCATGAAGATTACTGTGGTGCTCGGACAGAGCTGTGTGGCAACTGTGGGCGCAATGTGCTTGTGAAAGATCTGAAAACTCACCCTGAAGTTTGTGGGAGAGTAGAGGAGGAAAAGAAAAATGAGGCTTCTCCTAATGCATATGATGAATCTTGGAGTCAGGATGGAATCTGGATTGCATCCCAACTACTCAGACAAATTGAGACTCTGGACCCACCTATGAGGCTCCCTGGAAGGCCCCTGAGAGCTGTTGAATCAGACCATTTCCACAATAGGACTGCTAGCCAGAGGAACATGACAGCCCATTTTCCAGTTCAGAATAATCTGTGTGAGTTGTGTTTGGGATTAGGAAACTGGGGTGATGCCACAATCCCAGGGAAAAGGGGGAACAGGACTTTGGGGCCAAATAGATCTTGATTCTGGAAACCTAACAGTATCTGGGTAATGCCAGAAAGGATATGAACTTTCCTATACGGTGGGAATAATGGAACTTAATTGCTCTCAGATTGCTGTTAGGATTGATGGTGATGGAGTTGATGGTGCTGTACGTCTCCTAGGCATCTGCAGTTCTTTCTGTGGGTTAGCTCACATAGTACACACAGTGGTCATGAGCTTGAGGGAAGGGTCAGCTTAGATTGGAGTTCAGGTGGTCTGACCCTATGCTTTCAGTCATTCTTCCAGAATGCAGAAAAGATGTGTGAAATATTTAACCTAGTGCCCATCTCAGTTAGAGCTGAGTAATTTTATTTATTTAGGTCTTTTTGAGACAGGGGCTCCCTGTAGCCAGAGCTGGCCTGGAACTCACTATGTAGACAGGCTGGCCTTGAACTCACAGAGATCTACCTGCCTCTGCCTCCTAAGTGCTGGGATTAAAGGTGTGTGTCACCACGCCCAGCTTTAAATTCATATATGATCATGATGGAGTATTGCTTCATTGCAGACTTCATGTTCAGATGCCCCTGAAAATAGAGAGCCCAGGAGTCTAGTAGTTAGTCTTACCATTCTGTGTTAGTCTTGACAGCTTGTTAGCCATGGATCTGAGTTGAAGGATGGCAACATCTCTAATGTGTTTAATGTGTCCTTTCTCAGTTGAAGAACAAGAAAGGCAGGAAAGGAATAGAAGCCAACAGCCTCTGAAAGAGAGTGGAGAAAATACTGCAAACTTAGACTTCATGTTGGCCCTGAGTCTGCAGAATGAGGGCCAGGCTTCTAGCACGGCAGAGCAGAGCTTCTGGAGGGCTGTGTGTGAGGCAGATCCAGCTCATGGTGGGCCCTCTTCTCTGAGTGAAATAAAGGGTAAGTTTGTTTATTTTGAACTACTCTCTATAATTTTTGTTAGTCTTACATTATATAACTCATGTAAAATTGAAATAGTGGGCCAGCAAAATGGCTTAGTGGGTTAAAGCACTTGTAGCCAATCTTCCTGTCCTCAGTTCAGTCCCTGAGATCCACAGGTGGAAGGAGTGACCTGACCTGTATCTATCCTGTGACTTCCACACTTAGAAGCCCATCTCCCCCATAAACGAATAAATGCAATTTAGAAATAGTGTGTGTCTGTGTGTGTGTGTATGTGTACGTGTATATGTACACACACCTTTACTCCCAGCACTCAGGAGGCACTCTCAGAGTTTGAGGCCAGACTTGAGTACATAGTGATTTCCAGGACAGCCAGGGCCACATAATGAGACACTGTCTAAAAAAATATGAATGTAAATAAATGAAATTAAATTGAAATATTTTAATATAATTTACCTTATTCTCACTCTTTCTTAAAAGATTTTATTTTTATTTATTTTTGGTTTTTTTGAGACAAGGTCTCCCTATAGCCCCAGCTGGCCTGGAACTCACTATGTAGACCAGGCTGGCCTTGAAAGTCTCCTGAGTGCTGGAATTAAAGGTGTGTGCCACCATGTCCGGCAAAAGATTTTATTTTTTATATTTTATTTATTATTTTTATTTTATGTGTATGCATGTATTGCCTGCATATAGGTAAGTGCACCCATGTGCTGCAGTGCCTGTGGAGGACAGAAGAGGCCGTCGGATCCCCTGGAACTGGAGTTACAGACAGTTGTTAGCTGCTATGTGGGTGCTGAGATTCAAACCTGGGCCTTCTGCAAGAACAGTCAGTGTTCTTAACCACTGAGCTATCTCTCGAGCCCCCAAAAGATTTTATTTTTAAATTTTTATTTATTGTGTGTGTGTTCTCTGCATGTATGTAAATGTGCCACATGCATGCAATGCTGGCAGAGGCCAGAAGAAGGCATCAGATGTATTAGAACTGGAGTTAGGGACAGTTGTTAGCTGCCATTCGGATACTGGGAACTGAACCCAGGTCCTCTACAGAGAGCAGTCAGTAGTTTTAAGGTGAACCATCTTTTCAGCCCCAAGATTTGTTTGAGTGTTTTGTCTGCATGTATGTGATTTTTTGTCTGCATGTATGTGCACCACTTGTGTGCAGTGCCTGTGGAGGCTAGAAGTGGGTATGAGATCCCCTGTATCCCCTGGAACTGGAATTACAGTTGTGAGCCACCAAGTGGGTGCTAGAACTCCTCTTTAAGAGTGGCCATTGCTCTTAATTACTGAGCCATCTCTGTAGCCCCCACCTTATTTTATTTTTTTGTACCCAATTTACTTAAAATTATCATAACAATCTACATATTCCTCATCTGTGTTCATCAGCTTAATATTTCTCTACACTTATGGGATGTTCCTCACTTGTACATAATGTTTTGTAGAGCGTTTTGTTATTGTTTAAATTTTGCATATTGGCACTTTTGGAAAGTCAAGCCAGTTTTGCAGAGCATTTCTCCTTAGCTTGTATCTGTTTGACTGTTTTTCCATGTTTAGAGTTGGTTTTTTTTTTTTTTGGTCTTTTTGAGAGAGTCTCCCCAGCTGGCCTGGAACTTACTATGTAGACCAGGCTGGCCTTGAACTCACAGAGATCTGCCTGCCTCTGCCTCCCAGGTGCTGGGATTAAAGGCGTGCGCGACGACACCCGGTTCACTGTTCTGTCAGGTGTGCGTGTGCTTTGTTGGTGTTTCTACATCATTTTTAATTTTTTTTCATTTTTCATTTTAATTTAATTTTATGTGCATGACTGTATTGCTTGCATGTATGTACAGTGCACCCATGTCATGCAATGCCTGCAGAGATCAGAAGGCATTGGATTTCCCAAGAACTGGAGTTTTAGACAGTTGTTAACCACCATGTGGGTGATAGGAATCAAACCCAGATCCTCTGCAAGAGCAGCCAGAGCTCTTAACTGCTGAGCCATCTCTCCAGTCCCTATTTTTTTTTTTGAAACAAGGTGTCTCTGGTCTCGAATTCACTGTCTTCCTGCTTTATTTTAATGTGGGCTGAGGTTATAGGTGTCATCACACCAGCAATTCTATTCTTTCTGTTTTTATGCTTGTGACTCGTTATGGCATGCTAATATTCAAGTTCTCCCTTTGTTACTTTTATTTCTTTTCTTTTAAAATGTGTCCTATTTCCAAGCAAAGTCTTTTCCAAACTTTAGGATTTTTATTTTTATTTTTTTTGGCAAGATTTCCTCTTACCTGTCTTAGAATTTATATTCTGTACCTGGTCTTTTCATGGCAGAACTATATCCCCGGGTCTCCCTTTAGCCACCACACCAGCTCTGACATCACTTTTATGTAAAACACTCTAAAGGGATGAGAAGGTTGAAATGGAGTTGTGTTCATGTTGAGTCTAACCATGCAGTCCAACCCTCAGGTGCAGCTGATGAAACTATGCTGCCTTGTGAGTTCTGTGAGGAGCTGTACCCAGTGGAGCTGCTCATTGACCATCAGGTATGTTGAGAATATTTGAGGGCTTCAGATAAGAATGTAGCAGGCCATAGTTCATGTTACAAGCCACATGAAGTCTTGAGCAGACATTTGGTACAATGTCTGTGGTAGGAGTGCACCTGTTTTTTTACCATGGTGTGGCTGGCACATGGGTGTGGAACTCAGCCCTTTGTTTTCTCTTCCTCAAACTTAGATTCAAATGATCATTCTGCCTCAGCTTCCCAAGTAGTTGGGATAACAGGCACACATCACTCTCTTGGTTGCAAGGGAACCATATTTTCCCTCCATACTCCCTTGGTCTGTCCAATTTCCTTTGACCTGGTCCAGCATTTCTAAAACTGCTACATAGTCTCTTCTGTGGTGACAGAACATACCTTGCTTTTATGAATGGGGTAACACACTTCTGTTAACAAGAATAATAAAGAATATTATGCCCTTTTATTGTATGGTCATGGGAAGAATCTTGAATTTTTCAAAACTAATTTAAAAAGAGCAATCATATGAGCACAGTATAAAACAACATAGAAATGTGCAGAGTAAATGTTGTAGCTACATTCTCTGGTCCTTTTTCGTATTCCTCAATATTAAGTGAAACTAATAATATCTTTACTTGTAGAAAATTCTTTTTTTTTGGTCTTTTTGAGACAGGGTCTCCCTGTAGCCCCAGCTGTCCTGGAACTCACTGTGTAGACCAGGCTGGCCTCGAACTCACAGAGATCTGCCTGCCTCTGCCTCCCAAGTGCTGGGACTACAGGCATGCGCCACCACGCCCGGCAAAAAATGTTTTAAGAATGTAGTTTTTCCCTAACCTGATTATTTAAATCTATGTTTTTTTGTTGGATGATAGACAAGCTGTAACCCTTCACGTGCCTTACCTTCATTGAACACTGGCAGCTCTTCCATCAGGGGGATGGAAGATCCTGGTGTCCTCTTCCAGAACTTTCTACAGCAGGCTACAAGTAACCAGTTAGGGTCTTTAATGGGCCTGAACAATTCACCCTCTGTGGAAGACAGCATCATCATCCCCTGTGAATTCTGTGGAGTTCAGCTGGAAGAAGAGGTGCTGTTCCACCATCAGGTGAGAGTCCCTGAGGTCCTGTCCATTTGTCTCCATGCTGATACATTGGAGTGAATTTGAGGCTTCCCCAAGGCAAGGATGCTGCTCAGCCTCTGGACTATATTCATCCTTATCTCGACACCACACGTGACTTCTGACCTTGCTCTTTGGAGCTATATGAGGTAGACAGTGCCTCGAATCCCTGCTTTCTAGCAGCTGAAACCTCATGTCATAGATTCCATTTGAGCAGGTGTGGAGGCCTTGCCAGAGGAATGAGGAACCTCCACGAGGTCATTGATGTGCCTTTCTGAGCGTGCAACTTCTTCTTTGAGAGTATTTCTGTGAGACCTGGGCTGGAGCTCTGACTTTGCCCTGTGGTTGACTGTGGCTATATGCTCCTCTCTGGGACATCTGTAAAGAAGGGAGCTGGACTAGAAGTCCTTTTCCAGTCTAGAATCCCAATCTAGTAGAAGGACCCCCCGTCCCTGGCCCCTGAGGAGCCAACATTGCAGGCATTTCTTTTGTTGTAAATTTCTGAAGGAAGATTTCTGATTTTGAATCAAGAAGTAGATAAGTAACTGCTCTTTGTCACAAGGAGAGACTGGAATAAGCCACCACACAAATAGTCCAAACTATAAATTGATTTTTCTAAGACCTGCTCTTGCTTCATCTCTGCTCAGAGCAGAATGTGCTTCTGTTAGTGCCTTGGAAGATTCCATTCCAGGAGCTGGCTTTCTCTTAAGAGTCCAGGATTTTCTTAGTGGTTGTCAAAGCCCCTTCCAGGTGGGGGTATTCACCCAACTGCTTCCCACTATATCAGGTACTCATTTTGTTTGTTTCTTGTTTAGGACCAGTGTGACCAACGCCCAGCCACAGCGAACAACGATAGGATGGAGGGCATTCCTAGGCATGATACCCAGCCTCAAGAGACCTCACCAGAGCTGCTCAGGAGGCGTGCCAAACACCAGGGTATCAGTGGGGCTGAGGCTAGGCAGCAGGCCACTGCTGGCTTGGTCCTCCTACTTCTATCACATCTGCTGCTGTCTCCAGGGGCTTACCTATATCTGAAGTTAGCATGCATGAGGGTCCCCTGGGGAAATCTTCTGAGGCTAGCTGTTGTCTCACCTTAAACTGAGCTATCCTGTATGTAGATAGGGTAATGGCTTCGGGGACACCCATGAAACACATTTATAGTCAGTGCTATGGTGAGTTGTGAGTCTCCTGTCTGTGCCTTAGTATTGCCTATGAGCCTCTGACTAGGCAAGTAAACTGTTTTTGAAACTTACCACTGCAAAGCCAATTAAAAATTAGTTATTAAAGTTTGCTTGCACACTTACTGAATAGTTAGGAGGCTATATTTGAGGATTAGGAAATCGACGTGTAGAGTGGACTAAGTTTAGTTCTCTCCTGGAACTGTGAGTTCCAAGAGCCATCAGTGGGGAGCACTTGTCTTCTCTCCAGAATTTTTTTTTTCAAGGAATCATTTTAAAAAATATTTTATTTATTTTTATTTTTTGTGTATGTGTGTATTGCCTGCATGTCCATGTACTCTTTCTCTGATTGTTATTGGTATATAGAAAGGCTACAGACTTTTGTAGGTTAATTTTGTAACCTGCCACTTTACTGAACTTGCTAATAATTTC